CCGCCGGCAGAGGGCGCGCGCAGACCAAATTCCAGGCTTTTCCTGGAATTTTCACACCAGGAATCCTTTGGGCAATCTCCTCTTCCCTAACTAATTAATTCCTTTGAGAACAGGTTGTACACTTCTGTGGCTCATCTATGCATTCTTCTTTCCTCTCCTGTTTCGTTTACTCGAATTATATTCTCTTTCCTTTTTTCTAATGGAACTTTGATACTTGGTGACACCAGAAAGTCCAAACTGGTGAATATTTATCAGCCTGAGGGAATTTTAAAAGACTGTTAAAAACCAGAATACCCCAGACTTGAGAAAAGCCAAGAGTCAGAGCAGTGCATGAGCCATGAGAATAAGCTGCTGAGGCTCACACTAACACAGTCACCTGTAAGTATGAAAATAACTTCTTTAGGATCTGATAAAATTATTAAGAAACCAACCTAAACCTGCACTGGAAATGATCACTCTGGGTCAGCACAACACTGTGCTCAGTGCAGGTGAACTTGCCTCACTACACTGCTGACAACAAAGTCAGATCATTGATTCTCAAGCAATTACCTGTTGAACCAGCAAACATCAAATCACCAAAACACTGTAGTTAGAACTGCTTAGAGGCTGCATTCCAAAGGGGTATTTTAAGGCATTTGCACAATTTGGGTGCCTAATTTCCATCAACTTCAATGAAATTAGAAGACTCAGGAGAGCACTGGATGCTAACTTGATTTTCTCAGATCCAAACGTGGGACTGCTCACAAGACAATACAGAATGGCTGGAAGGGTTTTATTTTGGGGTTTTAAATATACTTTAGTAGGTGCTCAAGCCTGATTTTATTCTGTAGACAACAATGCTAAGTGCAAAGGTAAAATTTCAGGAGTCTTTAAAGACATAGTAATATACATGGAATAAGTTAAGAATCTTTTTGGTAGCTCTCAGTAAAATCACATGGACTTAAACTGACAGCAACCTGCTTTGTTGAATTTGGAAACAAAACAGTACAATTACTACTTGGAAGTGATTTTACATGTAATTAAGATGCAGTATTCCTAGACATCAAAAGCTTTGCATTTACAAATCTGTGCCTAAGTAATGACAAACCTCCTTTTTCACACTTCTTGGAATATGCCTTAACCACAAACTGTATACAGACGGTGACAAGTGGAGCCCAATTTAAAAATGTCAAGTGACACAGCAGCAAAAGCACAGCTGTGAGGATCAGATCAAAGGCAGCTGCTTCTTAATTAAACAGACAAAAAGATGAGATTTCCAGGGAACCTGTGGTTAATTGGTTAACCAGTAAGTGATTAATCCAGGATAACTAAATTAGTCAGATTTAGATGAAATACAAACAAGTGTTCATGTAAAATACCTCCCATAACCTCAGTGACATTAACAGACCATTAAGGTGGCACAGCTGAGCACGCAGGAGGTAAGCAATGCCAACATTAACTCTGCATGAGGTACTTCAGCTTATTCCTCTGAGACAACTTCATTTGTGCTCACATCTATCTTTGCCCAAGTGCCCCACTCTGCAGTTTGTATCATTTCAAACCACATTTATAAACCTTTAATACAGTAATTTGCCAACTTATTGTTATGGAAGTCTTATTACCAGCAACATTCGAGCACATTTCAAAACTTAAAATTATTTCACAAGATGCTCAAGAGGCTTCATTTTTCTACAAACAAAAACTAACATTTACTAGTATTCAGATTGTTCTCTAACATTCTGGATCAAGCACATGTAAATTACTGCTTCTAGCTACTCAGTATGAACCAAGGTGAACTCTTTGGAGACAAGAGGCTTTTCTACAGTCTAAATGCTTTACCACTAACAATTTGGAATGCTCAAGGAGTAATAAACAGAATGATTAAACTATTCCTATCCCGTCACTTGCTACCAGACACAAAACCCCTCAGGGAAAAATCCTCAAATTATGGGAAGCTTTTGGCCCTGTAAGTGACAAATTTCAAGAAGATTTTGTTCTTTTTAAACACTAGAGAAATCCCACACTGAATGTCTGATGCAGAAAGCAATTTTATACCATTTCATGTTTATTAACTTGTTCAGAGATACAGCAGATTGTCCTCTCCCAGAATGTAAATGAATACCAAACCAGACACTGAGCACTCAGATACTTAGTCTGCAGAGATGTTTTCTCAAGGCCACATTCAACAGTATATGCAAAAACATCATAATCAGATGGAACTGGTCAAACTGATCTGCTGTAGATACTAAACCTAAGGCAAATCAACTGCTGAGGAAAGAAATTAGGCAAGTTCCTCTAACTTGAAGCTGCTGATATCAAATTTAGCAGTGATTCAATTCTACCACTGCACCTCCCTCAGTGGCATTACTCTGCACTCCTAGTCAGATTGGCTACCACCACAAAACTCTCTTCTCAAAACTATGGAGGCCCAAAAAAGCAGAGACTTATGAGAGCAAAGATTCTTTTTCTAACATTCCTCCAGCTCCATGAATCAGGGAATGATGACTCAGATTTTATTCCCTATGTCACTACACAGACACTACAAATTGATCATAGCTACGGAGTGAGCAAATCTGAACACAAAAGCTGCTAAGGAAGCTTCCACAAACTTGGGTAAAAGCTCTGAACAGAAAGTTTGTACAGGAGCTGAGAGAGCAAAGCCAAAGATGCCAGTGATACTGTACCTCTGTCCCTGATCCAGATCCCGGTGAGTCTACTTTCCTTTTCTTCCTGGGACCAATGGCAGCTAACGCAGTCAAGTTGGCATCCCTCTGTCTCATCTGTGCTAGCTCTTGCTGCTGCATCTGCATTTGCCAGAACAAGTACAGTTAATTGTTTTTCCTTTGATTTCCAAAATAAAAATTCATGCTAAGGTGAACACTCACCTCCTTGGCCTTCTGTTTCAACCTAAGCTGTTCTGGATCTTCTTGTCGAGATCGAGACTGTGTTGGTGAAGGATAAACATGAAATGGTTGGAGGAAAAGAAAGAAAAATTAATTCAGTTACAAAAGCAGTTCAAGATTATAAGTTTTACATGGCACATGAAAGCTTTTCTTCAACTTCAGCAGGTAGTGGGGAATACCTACCACTCCCAGAGAGGCTGACAAGGGAAAACTATTTTAGCAGTTTTCCATTTCTTAGTTTCAAGCATCAGTTTTTGAAAACTGATCACCTTTTTCTGCTTGGCTAAAGACAGCAAAGCAATAGCTAAGCAATTATGCCCTAAACAAAATCATTACAAAACAAATTACACAGGTCTGGTCACTGAAATACACTTTGTGTATGAAAAAAGGAGTCAGACCTGTTTGGAAAAATTCCTCCCCTTGCTGTGTAACTATGCACATCCTCAGAACAGATGTTTCTGCTACACCTACACATCCCAGTCAGGCTCCTGTTGGTTCAAACTGCAGCTGAGTGACCCACAGAACATGGACATCAGCAACTGCCCATTTCATTGGGCACCTGCAATTCCTTGCACCTGTCATACTTTTGGAATCATGGAATTGTTTACGTGAGGAAAGAGCTTTAAGAACACCAAGTCCAGCTGTTCCCCCAGCACTGCCAAACCCTCCTCTAAACCATGTTCCCAACTTCCACATCTACACAGCTTTTAAACACTTCAGGGGTTGTGACTCAACCACTGCCCTGGGCAGCCTGTTTTAGGGCTTGACAGCCTTTTCAGTGATAAATTGTTCCTAATATCCAACCTAAACCTCCCCTGGCACAACTTGAGGCAGCTTCCTCTTGTCCTATCAAATCCTGACTGAGGTTAATCCCATACATTCCTTAGACCAACAACAAAATATTTTAATTTTATGATCAAGTACCCTTAAAATACTAAGCTTTTCCTAATTATTAACCTATGTCTTCCCTGCTGCACTTTAGGTGCAGCAAACACAGGGAATTATATGAACATGGCAAAGAGAATCATGAAGACTTATGTCTCACCCCAGGCTTTGCTCTTCTAAGTAAATGGATTTGCTCACTAATCTTATCTCATAGGTCACATTTTCCAGACCTTTAAATTGCTTTCCTTCTGAAGTCTACTTGGTGTAGGGCCCAAAAACTGGACAGAATGTTCCAGCTCAGGTCTAACAGGAACCAATTGAAATTAAGGTATTGGTTCACAACATGATGGACCACAAATCCAGCAGAAACTTTAGGTTGTTTTGTCAATTTTTTCTAGAGCCCTCTCACCTAGTCAGTCATATTCATACCACATTCACTGAGGAAAACCACGAAGTTCATGCCAGATTCACTGAGGAATACCACAAAGTCTAATATTTACATCCAGCTTACATCAACTGCTTCCTATTTATTTTATTTCTGCAACTGGTAAAAATCTTTCTGAATTCTATTCTAGTCTCCAAATGTCTGGAACCTTCCTATTCCATTTAAGAGCATCACCAAGTTATAAAATTTATCTTTTTCACAATGCAAAAACTAAGTGTTAATACCTCTTTTAATTTGGGAAGGTGCAATGAGATTGGCAAAGAAGCTCTCACATGCATTCCCATGAAAAACAAAACAGAGCTCTGGTTAAGAACACATTCATCAAGTTCCATCTTTGAAGCTTCATCTTCCCCTCCATTGCAAGTGTTTTAGAATGAAAAGAAACTGCAGTTCTGATGTCAGAAGTGACACTGTGCAAACATGTGTGAAACCCAAGCACTTGCCTTTGCTGCACGCATTAAAATTTCCCTTTCTTGTTCGTCTTTACGTTGCTTTTCTATTTGATCAAGTTGTTCAAAGAACTTGAGCTGTGCCCGAACGTCACTTGCTTGTTCATATCTTTCATCATCCTGAAAATACAGCAAACATGTTTCTCATTACTTTCTTAAAAACAAAGCTGTTAGCTTGTACTGTGCTGGGGAAGAACATACACACTCAAAGCTCCAATGTTCACTTCGTCCTGTTCAGACAAACAGCAAGTGTGTATTTACACCAGTCAAACCAGCTAGAAACTCTTAAAAGCATTTTGTTCTATTCCATGAATCATCAGATTTTGACTTCTAAACTAGTATCATCACAGGTTTAACCTCTCAAACATTTTTCACAGAGCTGTGTGGGGTTTTTTTTAAACACTGCTCAGGCATTTGCATCTATTAAAAACACACATCTGTCAGATAGGAGTCTCTTGAGAATTCAAAGCAGTGCTCTTATCTGTCTGATTGTACGATCACTCAGACTCCAAACATTTGGCATAATAAATAAAGGGGAGTGAGTGCACAGATTCTCTGAATTTGTTTTAGAAACATTTGGTATATACAAACTGAAAAGTTCTAGTCACCCACGTGTTTTAGTATCTTAATGGAAGCTGAATCAGGCAAAGAGAACAAACAACCTGAGCTCCTGCATTACAGCCAGCAGCTCAGCCTGCTGAATCTGGGCAATTTTGCCATTTGACTTGTGCAATTAAGTACAGTTACCTTGTAAGAAATATTTCTTTGTTGAGCAGTCTCTGATAATTTTTCCACGAGGTTTTGTAGTCTTTGTTGTGTAGCATGTGATACGTAGCTAACTACATCAGGATGGATTTCTGTGATTCCGTGTTTTTTTCCTACAATCAGGACAAAAGTTCAGTTGTAAAAAAATTGCTTTACATTACAGCTAAACACAAGGCTATTCTCAGTCATGGAAATTGACAAGTCCTTTGCAAAATAAGACTTGCAGGTATTTCTCTGACAAGCATTTAACAGGAAATGACATACTGAAATTTACATTAGTTTAACAAAATTTACAATCTGTAATAAATGCTGTATACTACAACATAAATAATTCAAGACTGCTTTCTGTTCCACCATCCATTCTAAATTACTAAGTAAACGTGATAAATTGCTTCTGGATTTATTTCATTGTTTGTGTCACGTTGGTTACACCTGATCAGTTTGTACAGTCAGACCCTTACCCAGGTTGAGTAGTTCTGATGGTGAATTGCCATCACTTTAGAAGGCAACTCTATAGTTTTGTTATCCCTTGACACTCTTCTACTTCCATAAGCCAAGTGATTGCCCACAAGCATCAGAATATACCAGAAGGCAGTGACTCCAGCAACTTTATTCAAATCCATTTCATAGAGTCATAGAATCAACCACGTTGGAAGAGACCTCAAAGATCAAGTCCAACCCTACCGTGGTTACTAGACCATGGCACTAAGTGCCACATCCAGTCTCAGCTTGAAAACCTCCAGGGATGGTGAATCCACCGCCTCCCTGGGCAGCACATTCCAGTGTCTGAGCACTCTCTCCACAAAAAATCTCTTCCTAATATCTAACATAAACCTCCCCTGGCAGAGCTTGAGTCTGTGCTCTCTTGTCCTTCCCATCTTCTATGGAAAATGCCTTCAATTAAACTAGTGAAATTAGTTTTACTAATGTTCAAGAAAAGTACCAACATACCTATTTCTAATATCCTTCTTTGTAAAGGTGCTGGGAAAAGGAAGGTTTCGTCTTTACAGGACCTTGTTAATGTGCCCACTAGCTCAGAGTTTGTTGCCAATATCCGAGCACTTTCTTCTGACAGGTTGACTCCAGCCATTGATGCAACATCATTAATGTCATCATCATCCCTTAAAGAAAGGAAAACTCGTTATAATATTATATTATGATATTTAGTGCCTATCAGTGCACACTGCTATGATATATCACAGCTGTATGTGGGGAATTCCACACTAAGCCTGAATACTTTATGTTTGCATTTTATTTGTTTTTGTTGCATGATAAAAGCAATTTGATTGTAAATGAGGAATTACTGCTTGGATTCCGAAGAGCACTAATTTTGTACTTCCTGGTGTTTTTCAAGATCCTTCCTTGTGTAATGTTTCAACACCTCCAGAAACAAAGAGACCAGACACATCACTACCACAAAACAAAAATAAATTGCCCTCATCACTAAGGCTATGCAACCAAATAACACAAGCAGAGCTGGGAGAAGTGAAGGAATAGATTCCATTTGCTTGTCTGGGCAGGATTTGTTTATGAGGTTTAGTGTCAGCTAAATGCTAAAACCAGTCTGGCACGAGTATGTCCAGCTCTGCTTGTTAAAGTCTTTAATGAAGACACAAACCTGCCCCCAGAAAAATCACCTCTGAGTTACTATGAGTTTCCCCAGCCTGATTCAGCACTGCTGCAGCACACGGGAAGGTCCCAAAGTTCAGCTGCTCAGGCAGCACAAGCACAACCAAACATGCAGTTCCTCACCTAAAAGAGCCTCCCCCAGGTTCTTTCAGTTTATTCTTCTGAGCAGCAGCTACTTGTGTTGAAACAGTGGCAATAGCTTTGTTTCCAGGTAATACTGCTGGTTTTACCACAGGTACTGCAAGAAGACAGACAAGATTTATACTCCATCAACATGACAGTTCAGATTTTCAAACCAGTCACAGGTACTTATGGCAATAGATCTGGTACAAAGAGTTTACCTCAGGAGTTTCTGTCAGCATTTCACCCAGCTAACACAGGACCCTCCCACATAATTCCAGCACCCAAACAATTTTCCTGACTGTAAATGCTGCCCTGACAGATGTGTATCCCCAGCCACTATGGCACTAGGCACTGAAGATTTTAGCAGCAGAACAACAGCCATCATAAGGCCCCACGGCATTTAAGAACTGACATTTATTGAACCACAGAATGGATTAGGCTCAAAAGAACCTTAAAGATCATCTAGTTCCAGCCCATCTGACACCTTCCACCACACCAGGTTGCTCCAAGTCATATCCAACCTGGCCTTGAACACTGCCAGGGATGAGGTGTCAACAGCTTCTCTGCGCAAGCAATTCCTAAAGCACATTGCAGGTAATGCTATCAAATATGGCATTTACCAAGTGTCTTCACCTCTTACCTGTCTGAAGCTGATTCAGCTGGATTTGAGGAGTAGTGAGCATAATACGACTGTGTGGTTGCCTCAATGCTACCATGGGTGTCTGTGTCAACGTTACCTGGGGAGGCCTTATCAACGCTCCTGTTTTTTGAGACTGTTGGATAACCTGCAAATAATAAGGACAAAAAAAGAACAGGCTGAGTAATAACTAGAGATGAGAATCAGGTGGGAAGAACAAACCCTATCAGTACTGGAATCAAGATGGATTTTAAATTATTTCTTTTTTCTTGGTAGCTAGTTTCTCTGAAGAGCTCGTTGAGCTAAACCACCAGTCTAAGACCAAAAAGTCACTGCACTATTCAAAGAAACCTCTGTGCCAAAGATGCTGCACGTACCAGTGGTGTGGTCTGCCCCTGCTTACTAACACCAACTGGTGTGGGCTGGGTGAGGCTGATGACAGGCTGCTGGAGGGTACTGGTGACAGTGGCAGTCGCCTTCCCTGCCGTGCGCTGGACCGAGGAGCTGAGCAGCACAGCCGCCGCCGAGGGGATCGTGGCTATCGTCGCTTGCGTCGTCGGCTGCTGCTGCTGGCTCTGCTGGATGAAAGCTGCAGAGTCTGGTGTCAACTGTCTCAAGGCAGGTAAACTCCTCTGGAAGGAAGAAAGAATTTTGTCAACTTTTTTTGATGCTAGCTCACGCAAGAAAAGGTTAACTGCGGCAAAGCGATGCGCTGCGGTTCTGTCCGCTGGATCAGCAAAGATGAGGTGAGCACACAGGAATATCACTGTTCACAGAAGGACAATACCTTTTGGATATCATAGGTATCTAGGCTATGCAGCCTGTCTGGAACACCTGGCATGTATTTAACAACCCAAGCCCAGCCCTGAGTGTGCTCCTACAGACACTCCCAGCTACACGTGAAGCCTCAAAAGACATACTGGAACACTGGTGAAAACTTCAGAATAGCTCCACAGAGACCACAGTGTTTTACTGGATTCTTACATTAGTTGTTTTCTTATGGCAACCAGTTTTGTCCTCAGGAACAGCTCAAGGTTGAACAAGCATTTAAGAACCCAGAAGTGTCAACACACACCCACAACTATATCCCTTAATCAAGCAGTTATACTCTCACCATTCAATGCTGTTGTACTTCCCCTGATTTTCAGAAGGTAAATGTTTTGAAATAAACATTATTTTGACATGTGCCCAATTAGTATGGAATTTAAGACGAATGGGATTTATTATTGAGAGGTGACAAACTTCCTGCTTATCCATACAAACTGGTGTACAGCAAAGACAAAAGATTTGCCCTGAAGGTAAAGTTTTCTGTACAATTCAATTCCTTGTTTTCTTTCCAAGACTAAGCAGAGAATAATAAATCAATTCATAGGTTTGCTGGTGTAAGACATAAAAAGAAAACTTTCCAGATTTCTCAGAAGAGCTACAATGGTATAAATTGCATTACTGACTGTGCCAATGAATCTAATACTAATAAACTCTTGGAACTTTGAATCAAGAATATTATTTAAGGGAGCAAAAGCCTAGCAAGGCACCACTTAAAACTTCCATTTACATTTTCTTGGAATTCCATCTACACTGCTAAAGATGTGCTGATGTTCATTACTGTTGATACATAAGCAGAAAAGTAAAGAAAGTCATGAACATAAGTTACCTTCAGGAAAGGCACAAGGTAAGGTTGAGGTGAAGAATTAAGTTCTCTGTACAGCCTACTGGTGAAGTCTTCTGGTTCAATTTTTCCATCCTTTAGAACAAAAAATCCAAATGAATGAACTTGTAGAAATTAACTTTATAGACATTCAACACCAAAATAAGTGGCATTATAACCCTTCACTATTATTAGTTACCAAGAGCTTTATGGTAAGAACTAATTTTACTACTAATTTCAACGAGGAAGACCTACAGAGCTCTGGTTATCACATGGAAACATCTGGAATACACAGCTCTACCCTAACTTAAAGATGCCTAACAACTAGACAAAACAATACTAGTACTCACTCCATAAATATTAAGTATGTCAGACCTTTACATTAGCATCATGTAACATTACTTGCCTTTTTTCTGTAAAAACTTGTGATTTCACACACACACTTATTGCACTAGTTGTTGTGTCTTCTCTCAAGTAGTTTTTATTCAGTTTTACCAAAATATAAGAATTTATATAAGAATTTAAAGAGTTACTATTTACCTCACACATCAATTCATGTTATCATGCATAAATAGCAGCAGCAAAGTCTCATTTACAAACTTAATGGAAAACTTACGCATCTATCTTAATTCAGAAGAAGAAAAGTTTATCTCAGATTTTATCACCTCCCTCCTCTGAAGAAAGAAAAAACTCAAAACTGAGTCTAAATTTGCCCAGTGTTTCTCACAATTTTTAATTAACTTCCCTTACCAGCAGGTTCTGCACTAATTCTTTCACGTTAGCTGCAGTCTCTGAGGACTGTTTTCCAGATGATGCCAGTTTTATTAATGTGGACAGGAAGTTTTTGCATTTCTTCACATTTTCCATAGTTTCCTTAGAAGAAAGGGTAAAAGGGAAACAGAGAAGGGAAAATAAACTCTTTGCAATACACAATCTGACCATACACTCTGAGAAATAAAGTCCTTCAGCTCATCGCTGCACAGTAGTATTGATAGATTTATGTTCAACACTTCAGATAATCAGACTGAAATTACTTTGCTTTGTTTTAAAAAAAGTGAGGCCTTTAAAACTGCTACAGTAATCAAAATTAAGACCTTGACACCTATCAGAATTGAAATGACCTGTACCCACACATTGTAAATCATATGGTTCTATTAGAAGTTTACCTTTTCAAGACCAATACCTCACAAAATTCAAGACCAATACCTCACAAAATTCCTGTATCTTTACTACTCTCCACTCCCACCCATCTATACATGTATGTGTATATAGATATAGAATATATACACATATAATATACAGAATATATATGCATGGAATCATAGACTCAACTAGGTTAAAGAGAACTCAAAGATCGAGTCCAACCCTACTGTGGTTACTAGACCATGGCACTAAGTGCCACATCCAGTCTCAGCTTGAAAACCTCCAGGGATGGTGAATCCAACACCTCCCTGGGCAGCACATTCCAATGCCTGAGCACTCTCTCTGCAAAAAATCTCTTCCTAATATATAACCTAACCCCAGACTGGCAGAGCTTGAGTCTGTGCCCTCTTGTCCTGCTGCTGGTTGCCTGGGAGAAGAGACCAACCCCCGCCTGACTCCAACCTCCTGTCAGGGAGTTGTAGAGGGTGATAAGGTCTCCCCTGAGCCTCCTCTTCCCCATCCTGAACACCCCCAGCTCCCTCAGCCTCTCCTCATGGCACTTGTGCTCAAGTCCCTTCACCAGCCTCATTGCTCTTCTCTGGACCTGCTCCAGCACCTCAACGTCCCTCCTGAACTGAGGGGCCCGTAACAGAACACAGCACGTGTGTATATGTGAATGAACAAAAAAAGAGATGCTAACTGCATCAGTATCTTACTGTGGCAGCAGTGGAGGTGGCTGTTGTTCCTTGCACTGTTCTCTGAGGAGTTCCAGTTTGTACAGCTGTTGCTGTCCCCAACGTGGTTGTTTGTGCAGTACCACCCAGAACAATCTGAGGCTGCAGAGAATACAAACATAAGATTATTTTACTTGGAACGTACCAAAAACCTGTTTCCCTGAGCCATCAGACAGAAAATGAGCCCCAGGGCAGTAGAACACCTTTCAAGGCTGCTGAAAGGTGCCGTCTGCTGCAGTGGAAAGAAACAGACACCAGATGGCACTAACCACATTCCAAACGGAATTCCCAAAGTTGACTGAAAATTGCACGATTTTTGGTCACTGAATAAAACACCATAAACATACCCTCAGCCACTATGGTTTCAAAACACAACTACAACGAGTACTGAATTCATGCAAATGCAGTAGCTTTTTCTGCCTGTTCTATTAAATGCCCTTTCCAAAGGGAGGAATTCCTAAAAAAGCACAACTGACAGAAGCTCAGGTCTTATTGAGAGCTTTTGGATGAACAAATGGACATTTTCCTAGTTTTGCAGACAAACTGGTAATTTAAAGTAGGAATATCACCTCTAAAGGATCACCACTGGAAACAAGACCTCCTCAGGGGCACAGCTCATTCATGGACTTCCAACACAGTCTAATTAGTAACAACAGCCCAATCTGACTCCCCAAGCTACAACCAGAACTCAGCATTTTAGCAAATCATTTGTAAACTTGGTCTTTTTACAAAGAAGCACAAGAAAAGAGGTTTCAGTATTGCCAAAGCTATTGGTATTGTGGGAGATGCCAAAGGAGACAAGGATTTCATTTGTCTCATGTTTTTGAAATCAGGATAAATGAAGTCCATGGTGTGCTCATTACAGCAAAAAATATGCAGATGGAATGATTGATTTAGGGTTGGTTTTTTTCCGTCCAGTATAACAGCAGCGCAAATTAAGGAGACTCAGTTAGGTAAATTAACTCTTAGATCTGGAAAGATCACTGGCATAGGCAAAGTCTCTCCGAGGGGAAAAAGGTTAACTGGATGCATAGCAAAACCTGCATGTTTTAAATTAAAACTCTCTAATCCTGTCTACTCAAAGGATGAAGAAAGCACAATGAGACAGATTAGGCGACAGCAATCATATTGTATCGCTGCTGCCTGGAAGCCACGGGGACAATTTCACACTCTTACACTGTTTTAAACTCACACCACCATTCCTCAAAAGAAGAAATTTCCAAGCAAGCCCATCATTACTGAGGTCAGGCTGTGAGACTGACTCCACTGTCTATCCTTGGGTTATCAGAGTCTCCATAAGGACGTGGACCAAACCAGAGAGAGAGAAGGTTTGGGGAAGAGAAAGCTGCCAGTGCAGTCATGGCAATTGTAAATTTTGCTGCAGAACTCAGAGGGCTGCAGATCCATCACAGGAGTAACAGATGCAAATCCAAAGGGAACTGGTGTCACTTTCTTGAAGCAAAAAACATAAAGGTATTTTATTTTAGCCAGCTCTGTGATCATACAAACTAGAAACAGGACACCTTTAAACAGAGATGCATACAGAATAATAACACAGATATAAAACCTTCTACCTGTACATCCCAAACACATATTGAGATCTGCACGTTTTAGAAAGGGTAATCCACAAAGTATTTCTTCCCTGCACTGAGCAATTGTATTTCCTGCATGTCTGGCAGTCTCATGCACACACCACTTGGCTACACTCACTTGCACAACCGGAGGACGCTGTAGCGTTGTTGTGGGTTGCACTGTTGTTTGAGCCTGAGACACTTGCTTGATAATAGTAGTTGGTGTCACCTGTCGTGCAATAATGGGTGTTCCTGGAGCCTGGGGAAGAGGAAAAAAAAAACCAAACACATTAGTGCCTACAGTTAAATATCATCTCCTTATCTAGTACTTTGTCTCTGGATCGTTACCATTATTACAGATACCTAAACCACTTGAAACCTGTGAGAAGGAATTTTAGACCTGAACTGAATTCAGCTCTCCAATTCTCAGTGTACATATACCTATATCCACCTTTTTCTTTTAGTCTTGTTTTTCTTCAGGAAAAAAAAAAAAAAAAAAAGAGTTGTACACATTAACCACATATGGTCTTGAACTGTCTTCTTTACATCAAACAGTTTTAAGCCTAATGCGATTCAGAGAGGTAAAAATATTTTTTATGAGTAACAGCCAAACTGTAACAAAATTAGGAACAAAATGCAAAGCTTATGCCATGTGGAAAGTAGATGTAGATTAGAATTTTAGGAAGAAATTCTTTACTGTGAGGGTGCTAGCACAGCTTGCTCAGAGAGGCTGTGGACTCCCCATCCCTGGAAGTGTTCCAGGCCAGGTTGGATGAGGCTTGGAGCAATCTGAGCTAGTGGAAGTTGTCCCTGCCCAGGGCAGGGGGGTGGGATTAGATGATCTTTAAGGTCCCTTCCAACCCAAACCATTCTGTGATTCTATGATAAGCTTGTACAGCCCCAGTTAGACCTATGATTTCTTCACACCACTCACATCATACCTTACTTTCTGGTGTATTCTTCCCAGGCAAAAGAAAAATAAAAACCAAACCTTAATCATACAGTTTTTAGCACTACAAATTCCTGGACTGACCTGCACTGTGGATATCTGCACTGGGGGTGCACTGGTAGGTGTTGCAGGACGAGGAGTCATAGTATTCTGAGACTGAGACTGGGCATGTGCCTGTGCTTGCATCTGTGCCAAGGCTTGTTGGGGGATCATCAGCAACTGCCCATTCTCACTGCGCACTATGACCATGCCTGGAAAACAGAAATGGGTCAGGAAACACATATCCTTTTCAAATGTGAAAGAACATACCTTTCTGGGTTGTTGTTTTTTTTTTAAATCCAAGTTGGATACATATGGAATTAATGTAATGCTGAAGGACTATGCAGTGAACAAAAAAGGTGTAGGATAAAAGCAAAATATGCAGCTGCATTATGACATTTTGTACAGAATAGCTGAATTTCAGAAATACTCTCTATTTAAATGCTCAGTGTGCTTCGCATCGGAACAGAGTGAGTTGTATTTGCCCCAATCAAAAAATTCCATGTGACTAGAAGTTAAAATCAGCAATCATGTAAAAATCCTACCTGCTCTTTACTAAGAAATTTGTTTTATGAAACACTACAACTAGAAGAAAATCCTGCTGTTAGGCAAAATTCCTGTTAGTTTGTCTTTAAGGCGGGGGGAAAAAAACCCATATAATAATCAAACAGGCTTCACCATCAACAGGAACACAATTGTCTGAGTTCTAAATTAATTTCCCATAACCAATTTAGTAATGAAAGTGGCTATAAAATCATAATCTCTCTCATGTGCATCAGCAACAGACTGCACTGTGCCATGTTACACCCCAAAAGCAAAATAAAACAGAGAGGGAAATGAGGCAGTCGTTCCCTGCTCAGTCACTCAGATCAATACACTTAACCCCACTGGGTAGCTGTAGGGAAGCAGCTTTTAACAGGCACATTTTCAGATGAGAGTCTCTCTTCCTTGAAGGCACAAACAGGATCTGGACAACATGAACTTATTTCCAAGAGTTCCTGCATTCAGCATGGCTCAGTCAGGCCAGGAGAGCCTCAGGACCTCATCAGCTCTGGGAAAACCTCCTAAGGAAACAAACTGGGCACTCAAAATTAGTTGGCCTTTCTGAGCAGCAAACTACAGAAGAACCATCACCACAAAAATCAAGAGGCACTACTGAAATCAGGAAGTTTTTCTGAAGTGTTGTTCAGTGAATCAAAAGCCTATACAGAGTCCCCAACAATATCTGGAGATCTGGTCTATGCCACCTCAGAGCATGACTACTTCAAAAGAATCAAGCTTTTATTTGCTTTTCTATTCAGATGAAGTGCTGAAATGTTTACAGACAATGCCTGAGACAGTTTTCTTGGACTGTTTGGAAATTCAACTGCAAAAATCCATATACTGATTTCTACAACAATGAGTTCAGAAGAAAAACATGAGTTGATTTGCTCCTAATTTTTTCCTTACACTCTCTACATTAGCTCTCTTTTAATGAAGTAGAGTCACACACAGACATTAAACTAGCTTACATCCAAAAGGTGACTTTCTGTAGCAGCTTATTTAGAAGTGCCAGTGTGGGACCCACAACGTGCTATGGACAAGAGTTATATCTAGAAACACTCACTCTCAAACTGTTTTTCTGTAGGAAAGGAGGAGGGGATAAAACTTATTTATGATCTTGCAGACTGTAGAAATAAATACTCTTTGTTTAGCTGTCAAGTCCAAAAAAACATTTTCCAAGCCATTGCAAAAAAAGCGTCTTTTCTCCTGTAACATATGTAGGAAGAAGTATTTTCCTTACAACAGCAGAGGCATTAACCACTACCACAGATTACTGGCAACTTCAAAACCTCAATAGTGATCAGAGAGCTTGATCCTGTCAGCTGCTCATTAGAACCATCACTGCTTTCTCCCCCTCAGCCTCACACTACAGGACAGAGCCACTAACAAAAAACCCAGAGAAATTCAATGTTTTAAAGACTAGAGAGTGACCTGCTAATACATCAAGCTCATTCCTGCCCACATAGAACCTCAATCCTCTTCCAATGTGCAACCATAAAATCCTGAGAAATGAACTCGCGTTGCCCATTTTTGTCATCCCTCATAATAATCAGCTGAAGCAGCTAAACGCTGAATCAGTGGAAATCTTCAATATTATTATAAGAGAAAACATCAGTACTGTGGAAATCTGATTAGAGGAGCTATTTTGAAGGCAACATCAAATATTGAGGTTTGTTGAGCACCGTTTAGCTTCTAGCAACTGAAAAGATCCAATGCAACTACCTATGTCTGTGCTTTTAGAAGTCCTGAAATACAACAGAATTATATGACATCCCATAACAAACCTTTTTTTTCTTAAAACACACCATTTTTGGGGTTCCCTGTGATATCCTACAACTAATGTACTATCCAAATTCTTTAAAGAGTTATACATTTTTTCCTTCCAGAAGCAGCAAAAGAGATACTAACTGCAGTTTTGCAATGGGGGGTGGGAAGGATCATTTTTGAACTAGATTTGACTAAATAAATGTGACTAAAATTATTTAAAGAGCCAAGCTAAAAAAGCTCAGCTGCATATAAGAACCTTTAGAACATCAGGCTCTGTGCTATACCTGTTTCTGTCTCCAGCTCAACACACACATCAGGCTCAGGAACAGATCTGACTACACACACGTCCTGCAACAGCACAACCATCCCCCAGCACAGCAGAACTGTCAATTGACTGGTTTTCTGCCCAAAACGTGAATGAGAAGAGACAAAAGAAGGAAGAGAACCACAAAATGAAGGTTGACTACCCCTGAAGTGCAAGCACAACGCCTGAACAATGAAATATTCTCCCTGAGCTACATGCAAAATTAGAACATGCCTACACATTAACATAGCACAACTGCTCAAACAGACAGTTGAAAAGCATATTAATGTGAGCTTTAGAAAACATATCAAGAAAGTTCAATTTTTGGCAGCAGACAGACAAAACAATCATTTGTAATTCAAACCCTGACTCTAAGCACTACCCAGCTAGATTTCTAGCTATGTGGAGTCAGAACCTTCCCCTCAACTATTGAAGTCATAATAAAAAAGTAATTCATGCAAAGCTACTTTCTTAGCTGTCCCTATTTAAACAGTTCTTTCATGCCCACTCGAATTTGATACACAGTTATTTTCCATTTAGACAGATTCTACCATGTCATTAAGTCAGGGTCTACCAGTGATCAATTCCTGTGCACACATGATGGGTGATAGACCAACACAAGACATCTGCTAACATCTGACTAGTCTTGCATAAACTGCAATCTGGTGTGATGACATGAGACGTTTTACCTGCTTGGAATGCTACCTTGTTAGAGCATGGGAAAGGTGTAAGAATTTTGGGAAAGGTGTAAGAATTCAGACTATGATGAACCTGGTTATTGGAATTTCTGTGCAGAAATTCATCAGTGATACACCGTGCAGGTAAGTTTTGACTGAACATAGAACACACCTCCAGCCTTGCTGAGGAGTCTCTAGAAAGGGAGATGGAGTTGCTCTCAGCTTCTCTCACCCCAGCCCAACTACAGACTCTCTCCCAATCCATTTAGCTAATAAAGGAACCCACCAACCCAAAACTGTACCCAAGCTGGCACAAAGTGGATTTTCAGTGAAGTTCAGAAGGTTCATTGGAGATAAATTGATTAAGAATTAAAATAAAGTCCCATTTATCTCCTGTTTCTATACAAAGTCAGTGTAGGACTCTACAGCCTCCTCTCTCCATCCATACATGAACCTCACGAATCTCAGTCAATCCATTTGTGGCAATGGAAAAGAGGAACTGAGCTGAGCCACATGTGTAGAAAAAGAATTTTCTTCCTCCTATGTTCCAAAACTTGTATTTTAAATATTTACATACAGCTAAGTATCAAACATCAAACTCCAGTGCAGAAGGCTACAAATGTGTATGAACCAGGGCAGAAGAGACTACCAGGTACTACAGACAGCTAGAACTGTACAAGGTCTTTCACTGCTGTAATGAATTCACCAATGTATTTTAAATAAGGATGAAAAAATATCTTTCTGTTTCAAGTTTATCACCCAAGTTTTTGTTCCATAAATGAATGAATTGCTATTTGAGATCAAACAGCTAATAGAGATCATTGGAAATGTTCAATTAGAAAAAGGTGACACTAAACTTGGCCATTTTAAACATCTCTCTGCCTTCTTCTTCCTAGAAAGTCTGATCACGTGTACTCTAAAATCATATTCACCATTAAAAATGCAAACATTCAAGCATTCTTTCCCAGTCTCTCATTAAAAAACTAATTAAAATTAAAATTAATTACCATTTTTGTTAGAAGTTAGAGGCTTAAGAGAATCCTGAAAGAGGTTCATATTTTAGTTTGAATTAAACAACTCATCATGGCTCCAAATGGAGGATTAACCAAACCAAGTTGGCTCCTCCTTATGCCAAAGAGACTTGCGCTCCTGACCAGTCCAAAGGTCATCCCATGTGTTCTTGTGGAGACCTTCACAGATCTCTCCTGTTTACCAGAGTGTTTGGACAGGAAAATGTCACTATTATATGCTGTAGTGCATGATTCTACAGTATTGTCTTTGCCTCTTGCTTATTTGTATTTCCACTTGCTAATGGCATTTCCATTCACAAAGTGCTGTGCTCTGGGGTTTTTTTTTGTTTGCTGGTGGTTTTTTTATTTATGAAACTTGTAAAATCATGCACTGGAATCAAAAGTGATGAGCTGTGATCATATTACATGTCAGAAAAACACAAACCAGGCTTCGCCCTAATGCCTTCCTCTTCCTTCTTTCTTTCAAACTTGGCTTGGCTTAGCAAAGACCAACTAAAAAAATTATCAGAATATTAAAGAAGAAATATTTTGTAGCCTTTGTAGACCACTATGATTATCTATGATTACCCAATATATACAACTTCCTCACTAGAGAACCCCTACATCCAAAAAAACAAAAAAGAAAACCAAACCAACAGAGTTTCCTGTTTTGCTACCAGTTTTCGCTGGCAAATCTCAATTATGTATTTATAGGAGCTGAACTTCCCAATGACAGAGTTAGAACTTGCTGCAGATACAGCAGGTGCCTTCAGAGCACTGTCCCCTTTAGCCAAACCTATCAGGAGGTCACTCAAACAGCAGCACATAGTCTCACCCAGATCAAGTCAGAACCATTAACAAGAACCTAGACTTGTAATAAGTTGTTTTTTTCAGTAGTTGAGACATGACAG